TTCCTTCCTTCCTTCCTTCCTTCCTTCCTTCCTTCCTTCCTTCCTTCCTTCCTTCCTTCCTTGTTGCATATACATACAGTGATATACATCACATACAGATATACATATATCAGGGATGGGTTCCTATGCGGACCGGTACCAGTTCACTCACACACACGTTTTGCTGGTCGTGCGTTACTTGCGCATGCACAGTTCACTGAAAATGTTTGTATGCATGCACAAAGACCATTAAAAGGTAATAAACAAGATGCCAGCAACACCAACAGAGAATGGGGAACTGGTTTGGGGGCATGGCCAGCCTGGCTCACTGCTGGTTCTGTGACTCAGACCAGATGATCACTACCGGTTCAGCTGAACTGGGCCGAACCTGGAGCAATCCACCTCTGACTTACACATTATGTACTCTCTCTTTTTCTCTCTCTCTCTGTATATGTGTATGTGTATGTTTATATGTATATGTATGAGTGTTCAGCAAGTATTGCAAGCCCAATTGGCAAAAGAAAGCTCAGTACCATATTGGTTGGAAACCAATGTGGAAGAGGCCTTCATCATGCAGTAGATAAACAATGGCTAAAATGATGATGATCGTGTGTGTGTTTGTGTGTGTGTGTGTGTGTGTGTGTGTCTGCATACACATATATACCCATGAGCATACGCAGGCAGACACCCACACACATGAATCTATATATCCTTCTCTTGCGATTCATTTTATTCCCTCCCTCATTTGTCCCCAAGTAAGAACAGCCCAAAAGGGAATAAGAGCAGAGGTGATCAGAGTATTCTGTATATGCTATCACTGATTCACATTTTCTACAGTCTGCAAAATGTACAAAAAAAAGACAGGAAGTCACTCAATTTTTGACCCCTCATCAATTTTCCAGTGAAGATCCTTCAAAGATGGCTACTTCCTTTGACTAGGCCATTGGTGATAATAAACTGTTGATGCAAAAAGGAATGTTTATCCTGTAACATAGCATTAGCTCATTGTAACAGCATTGCCAAAAAGGCACTAAGAGTTGTTAACCTAATCTTGCAAAACGTCTTCTCCCGTAACATTGTACTGCAAACTCAGGCTTACAAAATCTTTGCCAGTCCAATTCTCGAATATAGTTCGTCTGCCTGGCATCCACACTGTATAAGGTAAAGGTTCCCCTCGCACGTACGTGCTAGTTGTTCCCAACTCTAGGGAACGGTGCTCATCTCCGTTTCTAAGCTGAAGAGCCAGCACTGTCTGATGACAATTCTGTGGTCATGTGCCCAGCATGACTAAACGCTGAAGGCACACAGAACACTACTACCTTCCCACCTGAGGTGGCTCCTATTTTTCTACGTGCATGTTTACATGTTTTCAAACTGTTAGGTTGGCAGAAGCTGGGGCAAGTAGTTCACTCCGTTACCTGGTGCTAGGGATTCGAACCGCCGAATTGCCGACCCTTCTGATTGACAAGCTCAGTGCCTTAGCCATTGAGCCACCGAGCCACCATGACCCCCCACACTGTATATCGGACATTAATACAATAGAATGGTTCCAGAGGTATTTCACGAGAAGAGTACTTCACTCCTCTGCTCATAATAGAATCCCTTACACCACCAGGTTCAAAATTTTGGGCTTGGACAACCTGGAACTATGCTGCCTATGGTCTGACCTAAGCATAGTACATGAAATTATCTGTTACAATGTCCTACCTGTCAACTACTACTTCAGCTTCAGCCTCAATAATACATGGGCAAACAATAGATATAAACTCAAGGTAAACCGCTCCAAACTTGACTGCAGAAAATATGACTTCAGCAACAGAGTGGTCAATGCCTGGAATGCTCTATCTGACTCTGTTGTTACATCCTCAAACCCCCACAGCTTCAACATTAAATTGTCTACTGTGGACCTCACCCCATTCCTAAGAGGTCCATAAAGGGGGTGGCATAAGTGCACCACTACCGTCCCTGTCCCACTGTCCCCATTTATTTGTACTCATTTCCTTGTACATGTCCATGTTTATACTTATAACTGTTATCTTGTACATATTTGACAAAGTAACTAACTAACTAAATAAATTGCAGATTGGGTCCGCTAAGTCACATTTTATCATTTGATGCTGTACGTAGAATCCTACTCCTTTTTTTGTACACCACAGGGCAGGCCACAAATCAAGTTTGAGTAGCAAATATGGATTTTGGACTTTCAGTGGCAAACTGAAGTCATTTGGGGTCATTTAAAACTCAAAAGCAAATCAGTTAATCTTGGTATGTATATTTTTGGATTTCATACTCTCTTAAGGCTTGGAAAGAGGGGGGTGGACACAAAATTCTCAATTCTGGTCCCCACTATTGCATTTAATCACCAGACATATTCCTTGCAGCCCATGAAAACTACTATAATAAAGATTTTCTATATAATCCTGATTTTAAAGTTCAGTTTATGTCTTAGGAACATCCATTTACACTAGAACAATGACATGGGGCTTCTAACCTTTTTCACAGCGGGTACCCATGAATCCCGGAGGACAGATACATTCTCCCACAATGTGATGGCAGATGCCTCCATTCAGACAATCAGGACAGTCTTTGTCACAAAATGAGCCCCATTTCTTGGCTGCACAACCTGGAGAAACAGGAAATATAATGATATGAAGTTTCCAGACAACACCAGAGAGGAAAAGTTACTGTAGAGTCACTCACAACGTTCAAGTATAATTTCATACATTGTGTACTCTGTCTCCAGCAGCCACCTCAGGAAATGACTTGTGTGTTAAAAACAGGACTTCAGATCAGCCTAAGAATCATTTTTATTCAAATTTCTTTATATCAGTGTTTTCTAAATGAATGTCCTTCACTGGCCATGCTAATTGGGAATGGTAGCTGCACTCCCAGCATATCTGGAACACATCACACAGGGAAAGACAGTTTCATGGTCACTTGTGAATCATCAAATCATAAGACACTGAGTAATGTGTATTTATTTGTGAATTGCATATATATAATAACAAAATTAGGTACAAAAACGTCAGGTACTCTTCGACTTATGCCCACAATTGAGCCCAAAATTTTTGTTGCTAAACAAGACAATTGTTAAGTGAATTTTGCTCCATTTTATGATCTTTCTTGCCACAATTGTTAAGTGAATCACTGCAGTTGTTCAGTTGATAACATGGCTGTAAAGTGAATCTGGCTTCCCATTGACTACTTGTCAGAAGGGAATCACATGACCCTAGGACACTGTAATTGTCATAAATATGAACCAGTTGCCAAGCACCTGAATTTTGATCATGTGACCATTGGGTTGCTGCAACAGTTGTAAGTGTGAAAAATGGCCATAGGCAGAGGTGGTATTCAGCTGGTTCTGACCGGTAGCAGAAATTTTGAGTAGTTCGGAGAACCGGCAAAAATAATCTCTGGCTGGCCCCGCCCCCATCTATTTACTGCTTCCCAAGTCCCAACTAATCGGCTGAGTCTTCTTTTGTTGCCCTGCACAGGAGAACGGAGCTGAAAAGCAGATGGTGGGGTGGGGAGGGAATGGGGATTTTGCAGTATTCTTTCCCCTGGATTGGGGTGAGAATGGGGATTTTGCAGTATCCCTGCCCTGGAGTGGGGAGGGAATGGGGATTCTGCAGTATCCTTCCCCTGCCATGCCCACCAAGCCACACCCACCAAGCCACACCCTCATAACCAGTAATAAATATTTTTGAATCTCACCCCTGGTCATAAGTCACATATTTCAATGCAGTTGTAACTTCAAACAGCCATTAAACAAATGGTTGTAAGTTGGGGACTACCTAAAGGCTGCAATTCTTACTGAGCACTTTGATAAATGTTACAAAAAACATATGGTAATCCCATTCAGCTTTGTCCTGCTTGATTTTATAAGCAACTATTTGAAGGGGCTGGAGAAAATAAAAAATTCTAAAAATAGTTGTGATATCATGCATTAAATAAAAATAGGACAACAAGTGCCCTCCAGATTCATTGGATTTCAACTCCAACAATCCTTGGTTGCACAATATAGTATCAGGCATTTTTGGAAAAAAATGGATGAGTTGAATTTTTCCTTATCTCTGTTGCATACAAAAGGGCATTTCTGCAAATGAAGATGATCAGAACATTAAAATGTTCTTTCTGAACAATTAGAAAAAAGAGAAAAGCATTGCTCTTTTTCGGAGTACCCATTTGAGAATAATTTTTTTTAGTCTGGAAGACGTCTGATGTTTTGAACTATGCTGTTAACATTCTTGACTAGTAAGAGAGATTGGTTTGTGTAGTTTTTGAGCAGTAGGTTGGGAGATGCAGTTTTAAGAAGATGCATTCTTCTCTTTAAGCAGGAGCATCCACACAAATATGTTAGGAAGCATTAAACGGTTGCCTTAGGTATGCACAGTCTCACCTCGCACAATCAGTCTGAAAAAGGCACTTGACAAAGGGCTGTCCTCTATAAATGTGGCGCTGTAAATCCCACCATCAGCCATGGTAACAGTTGACAGGACCAGAATGGACTTATTCTCCTTTAACTCACCCTGGTGCATTGTGTCGTAGTAAGTCCCTGCACAAAAAAACAAAAGAAAGAAAAAGAAACAATTAAAAAAAAATAGAAAAAGCCAAGGTTGATGAACAAAGAAATACTACTGAAATAGAAATACATCTTTTGGAATATGATTTGCATGCAGAGGTGTAAGAGGGTCATTAAGTTGGATGTTGCTATTAGGAAGGCGGATAGAATAGTAAAGGAACTAAGCAAGTCCAAGGCTCCCATTTTGAAGCCAATAAATAGATTCATGTGTGGATGACCATTCATAATGGATCAATGGTTTCTATAGCACAGTGGTTTTTAATGTTTGGTCTGGGGACACCTGGTTTTGTGTGTCCCTGAAACACTTTCAGGGTGTCCATCAAGGTGAATAAATAAACATGTTAACATTTCTCAGTTTTAATTCCTAAGTCAGTGAATATCAATAGATATAACCTTCACACACCCAAATTCATTGGGGTCTTGAATCATTATTAAGAATAGAAAAGTTGTACATCAACAGAGAAACTCAAGCTTTAAGAGTTTTTTTTCCAAGAAGGAGTTGGATGTCTTGGAAAAAGCTAAGATCCTATCACAGACATGCAGTTACGGTAGATGATGGGAGCACTTGCCATTCCTTTTCCACCAGATGTCTGTTTTCTTCCCATTCTTTATCCTGGCAACCAGTATGGCTGATTGGGAAAGACTGATTGTGTGGGTTACTTTCTCTGGGACCAGGTTGGCTGTAACATTGAACAGAAAGAATGGAATTAGGTTACAGAATATACTCTGAAATATTTTGTCTTCCTTGTTTATTAGAGGAACATGGTCTTGATATTGGAAAGAAGACCTCAGATCACCATCATGGCACTTATATCTGGGTTTTCTACCAGATACCACAGCACATCCTGCTTGATGCAACATAGGAAGGACTCGATACATTGCCAGGAAGAAAGGAACATATGTAGAAAAAACATTCACATTTCATTATGTGGGATACAATACTCATTCTAGGGGACTTTCCCCCCCTATTGATAAATGTCTTCCCTTGGAAAAGCTATTAATTTGGAGACTGCAGGCTGTAGGAGTAGGCAGACTGAAGCAAGAAGTTGGATGAGCAGAACAGTCAAAGATGACCCAGAATTTTTTTTCACTCAAATCAATTAGCCCAACCACATTACCATTTTAATCTGCCTATTTGCTTCATGTACCATCATTCCATGATGCAACCATCAAATCAGCAAGATATTGTAAAGCAGAAATAATTTGCTTTTGTGCTGACTGTGCTTCTGCTATGAAGAAACATATGTTACTACATCCTATTGCTTGGAAACTCTTCACAGAATGCAGAATGAGCTACCACTCCATTCCTTTGGGGACTAGTTAGTTCCATTGTGGGACCTAGGCTTACTGAGTTTTGCATCTACTATTTTAAAAATATTGTTCAAAGATTCCATCCTCAAGTAGTGCTGAAAGGGAATAGTAGTTCTTGCTATGAATATCATGACTAGCATTATGTGGAAATAGTCCATAGATAGGCAATTCAACATATGAACAAGCAAAATGATGACAACCCCACTCCCAGTAATAAAAATTCCTTGTGGCCAAAAACAGAAAATCTGTAATCCCTTCACTTTGGATAGCACCAGCGACAGACATCTGTAAGAACCTGACTATATTTCCTTGTTTAAATCAATATATTGTACAATACAAAATTCATGCTTTTCAAGAGTGCATCTATAAGGGGCCCATGGAAGACTTTACAAAGGTATTTCAAAAACCACCAGTCAGGTAACTGCCTTTTCAGAAATCAGATGTCCAGTTTGCTATGTGCAGTAGTTCTCCCTCCAGTCCGTCTGCCTAGAGGGCGTTGTTCTCATTCCTGATTGGCTATCTGTTTGACAGCCGGTAAAGAGTTGTCAAACAGGGCTCAGCTGTTGCCAGTTAGCTGAGACGCGCAAGTTGTGAATTGCTGCGTTTGGCAACCTGCTAAGCATTAAAGCTGTTAGCATTTGAAAGACCTGGCTTGCCTCAGTCTGTCCACTCGGCGTTCTCCCTAGCTAGAACATTGGCGACGAGGATGGGATACTGAAGTAGAGCCCAGGCAAAGAGCTGGTGAAAGTCACTATTACAGAGCCGAGTCACTCAGAGCTGAAATTCCTCTCAGAGGAACTCACTCAACAAGAGGTTGAGTGAAGTCACTAAACAGTTAGTGGGCCTTGACTGAGAGCTCCTATTTTTACCTCACGATGGCCTGTATGAACACACTGGCAGTCTTTAATGGAGCCACAGAAACCTGAGAGTCATATATGTCCCGTTTTGAATGCTTCTTGGAAGCAAATGACTATACCAATTTATCTGAGAGCAGAAAGAAATTGTGTTTTTTAAACNAGGAGCTAGGAACCCGGAAGTTAATTACTTCCGGGTTCACTGACGAACCGGATCGCAAGAACCGGTGCGAACCGGTAGGAACCCACCCCTGATGTCAACTCTTAGAATTTACCAATGCAAAGTATTTACTTGGCACAAAATTGAAGGGTGTCATAACATTCTTAGCAGTAAAAGGCACAATTTTCTGATAATTGGCAATGTGTGAACTTGATGATTCAGATTGAAAATGATTTCAAGGAGACCAAAAATTCTTTGCACTGTTATTTTGTGTTTCAGTGAGTGAAGAACAAAGCAATCTCTGCAGTGTCCAAAGTATCATGCAGTTTTTGGTGCTGGGATAATGTGAGGAGGGGCAGACAACCCTGTGCCGGGATGGTGAACCTATGGCACGCGTGCCACAGTTGGCACACAGAGCCATTTGTCAGGGTATGCGAGGCGTTGCCCTGTCAGCTGAGTTCAGCCTTTTTTAAAGCCATTTTTCGCCCTCCCCGGGCTCCAGATGCTTTATAGGAGCTGGGGGATGGTGAAAACAGCCTCCCCCGCCCCTCCGGAGGCTCTCCGGAGGCTTCAAGAGCTTCCCTGAAGTGCCTGGAGTGCGAAAAACCAGCCCTATGGGCAAACCGGAAGTTCGGGAATGGACTTCCAGTTTGCTCGTAGGGTCGGTTTAAGCCCTCCGGAGCCTTCAGGGACCTTCAGGAGGCTTCCCTGAAGGCTCCGGAAGACTAAAAACAACCCTCCGAGCAAACCAGAAGTAACTTCCAGTTTGTTCATAGGATCATTTTTAGTCCTCCAAGCCTTCAGGGAAGCCTCCTGAAGGTCCCTGAAGGCTCTGGAAGGCGTACGGGGGGTGGGGAGGCTTTTTTCACCCTCCCCAGGCTCCTATAAAGCCTCTAGAGCCTGAGGAGGGCAAAAAAAGCATGCAAAAAATGAGGGAGCGCCTGTCATGTGTGCATGCGCACTGGGGGTCGCACATTGCATTATGGGTGTGACACGCCTGCACACGACCCCCCCTGCGCTCCCTCCACTTATGGCATGCGAGCCAGAAAAGATCCGACATTGCTGACCTAGTGCTTTCCAAATATTTTGGATTTCAGTTCCCATCAGCCCTAGCCTAATGGCGGAGATGGGATTCTGGAAGTTGCAGTCCAAATCACTAGGATTGTATCAGGTTGCTTAACCCTGAGTTACAACATTCAGAGGCAGGTTGCTACCGTTTTGGCCTGGTTCAGCTGAACCGGTAGTGGAATTCAGGCTTGGGTCGCAGAACCAGCAGCAACCAGGCCTAACACGCCACAAACTGGTTCCCTCGCCGCTGCTGATATCACTGCCATGTTGGATTTTAGCAGAGGTGGGTTCCTACCAGTTCACACCTATTCGGTAGAACCGGTTCGTCAAATCTACCGAACCGGTTAGAAGAGGTTCCACCAGTGGACCGAAGGCCACAC